AAACCCTCGCTTTCGTCGGCCGACGCAAGAACCACTGCGGCTTGCGGTTTTACGAGCCGAGTGGTTCTTCTCGGCTTAAGGGGTAGTCGATCCACACGTAAGCGGCACAGAACACACGCCCACTCCGCCTCGCCTCGGGGGAGTCTTGTTGTCGTCCGCCGTCGCGTCTTACACTCGCGTGTTCGCACGCTGGTGGTCACGCAACGCGCGTTAGTAAAGGCCGCCAAGGGTTTACCACATATTATACCTTTTTATAATTACATCAAATGTAGCCCTGTTTTGACTAATGATTTATATGTGTACACATATATCACTTAACTTATTCAATACATCCTTTGTACTGAAAACTACATGTTTAATATAAATGATTTGCTGTGGCCAAATGTTTTCATTGCATTTACAGACCCTTGTAACTCTCTGATACCACCCCATGAATGCACTGACTTGCTTGTAGAACCACGCTACACAAAGCAGATAGCAACACCTATAAAACGTAAGCATAGACATTTAAAAAAAGGGCTACTGTATCGACATTTTAAAATTATATTTAAAGAAAAGGCCCTGACAAAACAGCAGGGCTCTATTTCAGTAACTATTAACTATAGAAAAAAAGACAGCAACAGCTGACATCAAATCTTTGCTGAGCCTAAGGATAATCATAAATAAATAACATAGTGAAAATAAATATATTGCAATGCTCAAAACAGCAGCATCCAACCGTCTCTAATCATAAAAAAACATAATAAAAATAAATGTATTGCAATGCTCAAAACAGCAGCATGCAACAGTCTCTAATCCTTGGATATTACATGTCACTGCATGCATGCACGGAGCACCCGTAGCGCGGAGATCATCATATCATTCTGTCTTGTATTACTTAATTATTCTTTTTTTAAATGGTTTGTTCGCGGGCGCGAGCCGGCTCCCGTCGTTCACTTAAAAGCTTGTTCGCGACCGACACATCACTAGACCAGTGTATCTCTTATTGCACACTTAGCAGGGGGCCGCGTGGCCAGCATCTTGTAGGCTTCAATCAGCGACACAACATGTAATGTGCTTATTTGCATGTTGTCATTGTGTATTTAACCATCAAGCTATGTTAACAGCCAACAGGCAATCAAGTTATTCTACGTCTTCTCTAAATGTGGTTATGGAGAGTATGAATGCTCTTAAAGAAGTTGTTGCATTAAAACTCATTTTATAGTCATATCTGTTACAGGGTACTTTTGATTTAAATAATAACACTTTATCTCTGAAAAATTTGTTTTATCATACTCTTGATTCAAAAATAGTTTTGATTGTAGTTCAGAATTGTCTTATCTTTAACTCCAAAATAAATATTGATTGATTTATACAATTTGTAATTGAACATAACATAACTATACAATATAATAATGTTCTACTTGCCAATCTTTGTATAACACATTATCTCTGACACTAGTTTTGGCCATGACATTTGTAAAACACTAAAAACTGTTTACCAGAGTAGCTGCCCAGTCTTGGTGCGTGGTTGTCGGAACCATCATAAAAATCCAAAGAGTCCCAGTTATGCTCTGTGGCAAAACTCACAACTTGTATCTGGAGGGACGGATGGAGAGGAAGAGAAAAACAAAATAAGTTATTGTTAGCGTGGACCTTTGTCTTTAAAAAGCAACTACATTTTAATTTCATCGCATCTGGTTCAATGGTCTGCAATGTAATAATAGGAGAGAAACACATTCAGATAGAAACTCACATTTTTGATTATTTTTAAAACAAAACTGTCAAACAACATCAACAGAAAATGCTGTTTACCAAAAAAGTCTAATTATACCGAACACACCTGCACTTGTGCTGCTGTGAGGTGTCTGTCAAATATTTGAACAGACTCCATTTTGTTTCAGAGGCATCTTTGTCTTTGTATTTGTCCGTGAGAGCAGTTTAGCTTACACACAATCAGGCATTATCTCTCACGATTAGATCCTATCTGGTTATCTCTGGATGGCCCCTCTCACACAAACCATCCATCCATTCATCCTTCTAATAATATCTTATCTTCAATGACGTCCTGCCTGCTCAGCTTTTAAGCCAATGATACATAGGTCAGCCAGGAAGCAATGTGTGATAGGTGATACCTGTATTCCAGCTCCTTCTGGAACAGAGACCTTCCACACACAGTTCTGGTTGTTGTCATATGGCTCTGGATATCCAGGCGATAGGATGGTCCCACGACGGGCGGTCAACGCACCCCCACAGGGAACTGAGAGTGCAGAAAGGAGCAAAAAGCAGAGGTTAAAACAAGATGTTGTCTGCAAATAACAGGAAAAGAGAGAGCCTGTTGTGCCATCTCCTCTCCTGCAGAGCAGAGGAGCAAAAAGGGTCAGACCTGACAGCTTAGGCATAGTAAGGCATTGAAATGGAATATGCATTTTTAACTGTTGGTATTGCTTGTAATTATTATCAAAGTGGAGTATCCAGTGTACAGCTTATACTTGTTGTTATATTGTTACAGCCTTCTCAATAGCAATGTGTCAAACTCCTGCCTAGCTTCTTTATTCATATTTACCTATACATGTTGGCAGGGTGTCATTCCATTGTGCCATGTTGTCAAGGACACTCTCACACCGTATGGCAGTGGAGCCATGCAGGACGTAACCAGGGTTACACTCAAACTGCACCATCGAGCCAACTGCAAAGTCATTGCCGAGGCGTTTCCCAAATCGCGGCTCAGGGACCGAACTGCACTGTGTGGAGCTGGTCCTCGGTACAGCTGCAGAAATAAATTAGACGCAATAAGATGTTAATATCAAAAAGTGCAAATGTGCAGTTATTGCTGCCTATCTTGGTCATTTCAAACAATTGAATTCAGAACTTTTAAAGGACACGTTGAAACCTTATTAGGCCCAAGGCAAGTAATAATAATGATACTTTGAATAACAAATTAAGCTACTTGTTATTGGCTGACCTTGGTAGACAAAGTGAAATCCCTTAGCAGTTTCTGGTCCGACCGTGCTAAACTTTACCGTGACCTGGTTTCCCGAGCTCAGAGGGAGAGACTCACCTAGGGAGAGGTAGACAGAGTTATACAATAGATACAAAATCAGAAAGAAAGATATGGTTATGATTCATTCTGTCCATCTATCCATTTATCCTTACCAGAATGGGACCCAGAGAGAGAAGACAATAGCGTGTTTTGTTGAGTTGGTCCATCGTAAATTTCCACCACATCGTTGAGAGAAGTCTGGAACATCACAAACTGTCCAAAGAGGACTGGAGACAAAAAGGGAAGAAATACGGATAGGGTGATGAGTTAACCATACTTGCATGGTGGCAAATTATTATTCCAAGCCGCTGTCTGTGCCTGACCTTCTGATGATAAAATTAACCTGTAATACCTAATTTAAATTGTATTAAGCTGCAGTGTCAACCTCTATTTGAAGTCAACTATTGGCACAAAATTGCATATTAGGATACTTAATAGTCTAAACATCACCTTATCATCATCATGCACCAATCCTCCTCAGCCCCCTCGGTTTGAGTGTATCAATGTTGTCAGCTAGTGTGAAATGCTAGTATTGGCAAACACTGTATGTCAGTATGGCAAGATCTTTTTATGTCTGTCTTCCCTATATTATCTCAAGCAGGCAATGTGAAAGAATAGGATATGAAGCAAGTGGTAACCTGTCAAACTCCTGTCCTAACACCCATGTTTTACTCTGTTGCAGCATGATGGAAGGAAAGAAGATTGCTGCAGTGGCCATGAACCATGACTAAAGCAAGGATTTTAGAGTGCAGCTGCAGTGGCAGGAAGCATCATGTGGCCCCCTAGAGGCCCTAGGTACAGTATTTGATACTCTCTGTCTTGGTTGATCACTGATCCTTTAAAATAATTAAAAGTAGCCTTAAGCTGCAAATCTGTAGGTGTAATTGTATAAATAAAATGTGTTTGTTTGCTGCACATGGAAAATCCTTCATAAGGATAACTGACATGTATTTCAGCCTCAATGAAACAGGCTTCCTAAGCAACATAAACACACACGCACGCACGCACGCACGCACGCACGCACACACACACACACACACTATATCGCCTCTCCATCTCTCCCTCCCTCTATATTTGGCCCCAACGGCTGAGGTGTAAAGGATTACATCTGAACATTGCCAAGGATATTGCGCTATAAGAAGGTCACTAGTCACTTACTTTGAACAAGGCTTTTTCCCTCTGTGGAGTTATTTTAAAGCATGATCCGCATTTTGCTAAAACATTGATCTGACTCACAAAGATACCCTGTCTGCTTCCATGTAAAACTCTGTTTCATGTTAAAACATGAAGGGCACTCAGAGAGCGCAGACCTCCGCCAAGGCCGTTTAAGTAAGTGAAAAAGAATGCATGTCCCCTTGAAACAGATCCACTCCAAATATAATGGATTCTTCTTTTGTTCGTGTTACAACCTTCCACCAAGTTTTATGAGAATTGGGCCAATACTTTTTCGGTTATCCTTCTGATAACACACAAATAAACCAACAAAATAAACCTAAAACAAACTATTTGACGAAGGTAAATAATTATAATAAAACAACGCAGCTCCGAAACAAAACAGTGAATATTTAAATGCTGTTGAGACAACACAATTGTCAAGAAAGAGCTCTTTAATGCAGATAAATCTCTCTTCTTATACTTGTATCTAATAGCCATGCCATGCTTGTACATGAGGATGTATATAAGGGCATGGAGTGGTCATAAAAAATGACACAATTCTGCTTGTCAGCAGAAATACTTAAAAGCTCCCACCGCGTATGGATTTTAAGGAAACTAGAGTGATTAAGGTTTCCATCATGCCCTGCTGTATTATCGACAGACCGCAGAGCAGGTGGAGGAGTTCACAGCCGAAACCGTTTCAAAACGGCACAGATTTCAGGCAGGAGGACACACAT